GCCAGACAAAAGAGACAGGAACAATTTGTTCAAGACAACAGACATGTAGGCGAAGTGGTGCTTCAGTTTTGCTCACAGTTGGCTTGATGTCTCTATGGATGAATCCCATGGAGTGCATGTATTCGACTGCATTCACCTGCACACACCAAACCAACACATCAATGCCGCCGAGCCGAATGAACGGCGTAATTGATCTCTTCATTGCGTACAAGCTGCTCCGCCCAGATCAATCTCCGCCGCGCCGCCGGCTCTTCCCGTAGGTAATTGGACAATGTGTCTGCAAGAAGCACATATGAACACGTGGACGAACATCTAAGATATCAGTCTATGTCCTTTTGCTGACCTCCATCAATGTATTCGAGCACCAGGCAATGCCGAGGACCTCTCAGTGTGGCCTCTCTCGCCTCGGCATTGCCCCCATACGACAGACCCCGAGACACCTCACAATGTTTCTATGCTCAAGAAAACTACGAAGCGACAGCAATGTAAGAAATGAGGAAGGCAATCAGTGGGGTTTTGTTGCAGACGCTGACCTAAATGCACGGATTTCCCTCTCGAAATTCATGATATCCCAATCCGACGGCGCCCTTCCTGCAATCAAACAGGCAGCCAACGAGGGCGATGCATTCAAGGGATGCTGGAGTGAGCCGCTCACCCCTCTGCAGCGACAGCAACACCGACTTTATGGCTACTCTGGTGGTCCGTCGAAGTAGCCCTTCCTCCACCTGGTACAAGCATCAGATTCCACACAGCAAAGTGCATGTAGGAGCTCCTCTTTCTCTGTTTACCACGCCGTAGGTCCCGTACCCTACCGCCAACCGGTCCACCCAAATGAGCTCTGCACATAATGAGACATGCAAGGAATGAACTCGGAGGAACTCACGATTGTTGTCATTTAGAAAAGAGCTTACGGTGGGGCTGGATTTGCTCCAAAAACACCGGCCCCACCCCAGCTGACGTGCCCTGGCGCGGCCTTTGGTTGTCCAGCTCCTCCGCTCGCCGCAGCAGCCGCGCCATGGGGTCCAGGTCCTGCCAAACCTCCTCCTCAAACTCATCCACTTCCTCCTCCTCTTCCTCCAGTGGCCGCCGCAGGATGGCCTCCCGGCGCTCCAAAATCCACCCCCGCAGCGCCTCGATAGCCCCTCTTACGAGCTCTGCCGGGCGTGGGGCGCACCCCCTGGGTGGTGGGGGTGGGGGTGGCTGTGGGTCTGTGGCTGCGGCTGCGGCTGCGGCTGGTGGTGGTGGTGGTGGGGATGGTAGCTGTGGGGCTGCCGTTGGTGATGGGAGTGCAGGGCCGCTGGGTGGTGACGCACTGGGCGACGCATTGGCACTGGCGCGTCGGTTCGTGTTGGTCAAGATGCGGAACTCAGGCCTGGGGCGCGCTGATGGGGGAGAGGGCATTGGCGGCATCGATGACATGGCCTCCTGTGGGGGCGGGCCAGGAGGCGGTGGGGGACGCTTCATCAAGCCGAGCGACGGGGAGCTGTCCGGGGGTGGCGGGGCTGCAGCAGACGATGCTGCCATTGACATGGACGAGGGGAGAGGGAGAGGGAGAGGGAGAGGAAGAGGGAAACCACCCATACGCGAGCCCGGCTGCCCAGCAAGCTTGGGGAAGTCGTGCGAGAAGGGCTGTGGGGGTGTGACCGGATTGGCCACACCAGCAGCAGCCGCAGCTGCTGCAGCTGGCCCTCCAGAGGAAACCAGACCGCCCCCGCTGGGCGTCGCTGGCAATTTCTTGCCAGCAGTCAGAGAAGCGGATGAGGGCGGGGGTGGCAGAGCCGACAGTGCGGTCGGCTGCC